ACGGTTGAAATTGATTTGAACCGGTACTAGGGTCAACCTGACTAGGAGTAGGTAGACTTTTTCCCNATTAGTTGAGTAAATAATGGCCAAACGGGAGATGTTTCCGTCCGTTTGCTAGGTTGTCTAGAAAACGTAGGGGTAGTAACAGGAGTATCAGATGGGGCATCATTTGGATTAGCAGGGTTATCACTAGTTTGGTTAACATCAGGGGCAGGACTAGTTGGTGTATCATCATCCGGTTGAGTTTCATCAAAATCTATTTCCTTGTCATCATTTTCATCAATAGTTGGATTAGAATAAAGAGCATTCATTAATTCATGGTCTAATTGTTCACCAGCTCTAATATTATGGCAAAATTGACTTTCAGTAAATTATAATAAACTATTATTTCTATCAAGAATAGCATGTGTAGGACGGATGTGGAATTTGGTTCGGGGTGCCCGGGGCAGTGGAGGAGGAATAGATTGAGCACTAGATTCGTCACTCTTGGATTTTCCCTTATTTTTACCAAAATTTTTTTTTAACGAAGCCATCTTAATTAATAAAGTAATAAAAAATAAATAAAACAAACAAAATTATAATATTAAAGCTTAAGAGTTGGAACGAGTTTACCGAATTGACGAACAACTTGTTAAAAATTGATTATCGTTGAAGACTTCAATTCACCAACTTCATAATTGTTTTACAAATTGTAACAATAAAGTAAACAATAGTAGCAATTATAGAAGAAAATTAGAGAGAGATTGTGATAGATTGATGATTTTGTAAGGAAAAATGAAAGAATGATGGAGTATTTATAGTTGAAAATAGAAAAAAAAATGTAATTATAAAAAGTTTGGGATTAAAACAAAGTTGGAGGCTATATTTAAAAATAAGAATAGCCGTTGGGACCGTTTGGTCCGCTAAGGGACCGGTCTGGTCCCGGACCGGTCCCTTGCGGGTTAAATGGTCCCGGGCCTGGCGGGTCCAAATCATAGGACCGACCCACGAGATCGGCCCAGGCCCAATAAAACTGGGCCAAACGGTCCTGGCCTGTTTGGCCCGCGATCCCGGGCCGGTCCCAGGCCTGAACTGGCCCACTTGCCACCCTTATGTGAGCCTAAAACTACCCAGACGTAGGCATAGCTAGTAGCTACGTACAGACTCTCGTCACCTCGTGCGTACTTAGCCCCCACAAATAGAAGCACACAATAATTTAGTTCACCTATGGGGTTAATTTCCCCATACAAGGTTAGAAAGGAGACTTACCTCGCTCCGAAGTTCCACAATCAGTTTACGAGCCCTTCAAACAACTTGAATCGATGCACAATGCCCCAAAACTAGTCAATAATTATGCAAACCCATTAATATATACTCAATATATTCCAATTTATAACAATTTCTGACCCCGATCGAAAAGTCGATAAAAATCACCATCGGGCCCACGTGCTCGGATCCCAAAAACATTCGAAGCTAAACTTTACACATAACACCACGAACTCAAATATATAATTTATTCTCAATTCCATGCCCAAATTCGTGGTCAAAATCCAAAAATATAAATTTCTAGGTTTTCTTCCAAATCCCAAAATTCCTACAAATTTTCATGTCTAAATGCATATATAGACCATGTATTTAACTCACAATGAGAAACAATCACTTACCCCATAGTAGATGATGAAAATGACACTCCAAAATTGCTAAATAATTGCCTCCTATGGAAGAAATAAAGTGAAAAGGAGCTAAATCCCCGATTTTAAAAGAACACTGCACAGGCCCTTCCACTTCGCGATCGCAGAAATTACCTCGTGATCGCGAAGGCCAACAACTAGCTACCCAAAAGCTTCTTCTTCGCGAACGCGAACTTTCCTATGCGTTCGCAATATACAACAATCCCGAATAACGCGATCGCAGACCAAACTTCGCAAACGCGAAGACGTGATTTCCCAGCTCAGAACTCCCTCTTACGCGATCGCGAGTCCATTTCCGCTATTGCATAGAACATCTGACCCCTCCAGTCCAATTTCCTATTCGCAATCGCGTCCTCCATTCCGCGATCGCGATGCATACCCGATACACCAGAAACCAGCAATTATAAAACTAAGAAAAATGGTCCGAGACCATCCCGAAACACACCCGAGGCCCCCAGGACCCCATCTAATCACACCAACCTATTCCATAACATAACACGGACTTTCTAGAGACCTCAAATTACATCAAACAATGCCGAATTCATGAATCGCACCTCATTCCAAGCTTAATGAACTTTAAAATTTTTAAATTTCTACATTCGATGTCAAAACCTATCAAATCACGTCCGATTGACCTCAAATTTTGCACACAAGTCACATTTGACATTACGGACCTATGCTAACTTCCGGAATCGGATTTCGACCCCGATATCAAAAAGTCCACTTCCGGTCAAACTTTTCAAAAACCTTCAAATTTCTAGCTTTAGCCAAATGACTCCAAAATGACCTACGGACCTCCGAATCCACTTCCGGAAGCGCTCTCAATTCCAGAATCACCATACAGAGCTATTCTCAGACTCGGAATTCCAAACGGGCATCTATAACATTGAAATACACCTCGACCCAAATTTATGAATTTTTTCCAAAATGTCAATTTCCACAATAGGCGTCGAAATGCTCCTGGGTCATCCAAAACTCGCTCCGTACATATGCCCAAGTCCGAAATCATCATACAAACCTGTTGGAACCTTGAAATCCCGATTCCGAGATCGTTTACTCAAAAATTCGACCTTAGTCAATCCTTCCAACTTAAAGCTTTTGAAATGAGGATTTCCTTTCCAAATCAACTCTGAACTCCCTCAATCTCAATTCCGATTACGCGTACTAGTCATAATACCTGAAGTGAAGCTGCACATGGACTCAAATTGCCGAACGACGCGCTAGGGCTCAAAATGACCGGTCGGGTCGTTACACTCATGAGTCATCAGCAGGTTTAGTAGAGTCTTGCGGGTCGGTACGGAGACGTTTGTACTTATATTCGAGAAGCTTCCAAACCATTAGAAAAACTTTACTTTCTTGTATTCTTGTCATGCGAATTTGTTGATTCTGAAAACAAAACTTCTGTTATTCTATTCTCTCATAGATGGTGAGGACACTTGCTACTGGATTGGGCGGACGGCCACCAGTACCACCAGCTAGGGCCACGAGAGGTCGGGGCCGCGATAAAGGCCGAGGTGCAGCTCGTATAATAGCTAGAGCAGCACTTATAGATCCACTAGTTGCTCCAGCTCATGAGCAGATTGCAGATGTGGTTGAGCCGGTGGGACCAGCTCAAACACCAGTTGTGCCTATTGTGATTCTAGGCCTTCGGGAGGCTCTCGCCCAGATATTGACTATTTGTACTAGCCTTGCTCAGGCGGTTTCAGTTCCGACCGCACTAGCCACTTCTCAGGGCGGGGGAGGTGCTCAGACTCCCGCCGCCCGTACCTATAGCAGGTGGTGCAAGGGCTTCAGACACCGAGGTACTACCAGCCCAGTTGGTTGCAGTTGCTCAGGGCCAGGTGGGTCCCATTATGAGTGACGAGGAGCAGAAGAGACTAGAGAGGTTTGGGAGGCTCAAGCCATAATCATTCAGTGGGGCTGAGTTAGAGGACTCTCCGGACTTCTTGGATAGGTGCCAGCAGATTCTTCGCACAACGGGTATTCTGGAGACTAGTTGGGTCTCATTTACTACTTTTCAGTTGTTGGGGGCAGCGTTCAGATAGTGGGAGGCCTATGATCGGAGCAGGCCAGCCGAAACTGCACCACTTACATGGCACGAGTTCTCCATTCTCTTCTTGGAGAAGTTTGTGCCACCGAGCTGAAGGGAGGAGTTACATAGGCATTTCGAGCAGGTATGCCAGGAGGGTATGTTCGTGACCCAGTATGAGATGAGATTTTCAAAGTATTAGCTTATATCGAAAAGTATTTTTTTATAAAATATCACTTTTTAAAAACTTGACAAAACACTAATTGTTGTTCAAATTCATTAGCCAACCACAAAAGACGTCTTATCAAAAATATTTTTTTGAAAAATATTTTTCAAAAATAAGCTAATTTTAGAAACTTGACAAAACAGGCTATTATAGTTTTGTTAAGAACTCGATTATTAAGTTATATTATATGCAATTTTGTTAGGTAGTTTGATTATAGGCAAAACCTTCTATTTGTATCTGCACCTCTACTCTTTTTTATCTTAAGGCGGCAGCTCAGTAGTTAACCTTTGACCCCAGTAATTTTAAGGTCATATATGGTATTCAGAATTTGTTGTAAAAGATTGTATTTGACCTTTAGTAGCTATAATATTACATTGCTATTTGCTAATATAAGGTAAACCCTTCTTTTTCGTCGCTACACCTCGTATTGCTACAATATACTTTATTTTTTTTGTTCATGAACTATCAATTTAACTGATGCTTTTATTCAATTGAACTAAATTAATCATTTTCTCAATCAATACTTGAATATTTAGAAACTATATAAAAAAATAGAGCAGGTTATTATCGTTTTGTCATATTAATGATACAATAGAATATATTGACGAAATGTTAATTGATGGTTTACTTGATTGTGATGAAGTAATGAACATTTTGGGAGAGAAGCCTCTTGCAGAAATATAAGTTAACGCTACCTTGTAGTCCGGCTATTCCCTGAATCCCGCGCATGATACTTCTACTTTAAAGTATTTTTTTTTTCTACTTTTAACCCAAAAAATAATTGGCCAAACAGGCTACAATTGATTTGTCAAAAATGTAAAAGTATATCGATTTGACCAAATTACCCATTTATATTTGCTATGTTTAAAATATTATTTAGGAAAACAAATTGAGAAAAAACATGTGAAGACCTGCAAAGTTCAAATCAGTCCTACAATAATGTTGATTAGACATTTGACTGTTCCATGTTCAATTTCATCCACCAATTGGAACCCATAATTTCAATTATCCAATCCAAACAAAAACTTATCCAAATTCCCTTCTTTATTTCCTTCCCTCTCACTTTCTGCCCCTGCTCTGTCTTTTTCCGATAAGATTTTTCAGCAACCAAACAAAATCCTCTCTCTCTCGAATATTCGCATACAATTTTTACTAAAATGTTCACTTCCAGTTTCACAATTCTCTAATTTTGACGTTATATGGCCACTCTCTTACCGTCGCCGGACATTTCCTCGTTCTCCACCGGTCGCCGTCCGTCCAGTATATTTTCCGGCGAAAACCATAGAAATGTAAAGAAACTCGCTATTCCAAACGGACAATTATCAGCTCCGTTGAAGGTTAGTACGATGTCGTCTACGAAGCTGGATAAGGAGGAAGAGCAGAAGCGGAATTACTATCTGAATACGGGTTACGCTATTCGGATTCTCAGAGAAGAGTTTCCTGCGCTTTTCTATAAAGAGCTAAACTTTGATATCTACAGGTAAGAATTCTCTTTAGAAAATATCCTAATCAGCTAATCCCTTTTGTTTCCATTTGTTTGGCATAATTTGTTTAAGAAAAAAATAGTCTTTTTAAATATATGGAGCTAAATATTCCATAACATTTGTCTTGTTATAAGATTTTTGAAAGTTGTGATCTTTAAACATTTTCTAACATATTTGTGGCTATAAAAACTTTTCATTAAAAAATATAGAAATGTTAAAGCATTACTAATTGAATTCAATCTTTTAGTTGATCTCAAGAAGTAATTTCTTTTTTCTTTGTGGTATTATGTCAATCTTTCTTTACCTTGATGCTACGGCAATTACTTGTACATGTAACTGTTGTTGCTCTAGCTTTGTTAGTTGAAATTTAATGGTAGGCTGATATTATTGTCGTTAAATTTTGACCTGACAGATGTAAATGGACGAGGTAAACCTAAAATCGCATAGAGATGAATTGCCTCATAACACTTACAATCTCTAGAAATCCATGTGGATTAACGAAGAACAGAACATAATCAAAGCAAATGATCCATATATGTGATGCCAACTAGTTTATATATAGATTTAGCTGTATCAGCACACTTATATTAGTTTATATATGGTTGTATGTCAATCTAGGAATAAGGTAAGATTGGTGATCCTCTAGTTTTAGATAATCAAGACAAATATTAAATACAGGAATGAAACAAGCTCAAATAAAGCGGAATGAACATAAAGGATTCATATGGCCTAAGAATGCCATCGCGTCTAGCTAAAACTCACAGTTAGAGAATTTGGCATATAGGTTGTGTTCTCTAAGTGTTTGCAAAGCTCTCTGCAAGTGGTTCTCCTTTGCTTGTGCTTCTGATTGCTCGTGCTTTCCTTTGCTCCAGGAGACGCAATTGTTATTGCTGTTATTTTGAGTTATTATTGTGATATAATAATTCTAGTTGTTGATGGTTTTCTTCTTTCTCTACAGGGATGATATAGTCTTCAAAGATCCCCTCAATACTTTTACTGGCATCGAGAACTATAAATCGATCTTTTGGGCTTTACGATTCCATGGCAGGATGTTCTTTAGTGCTTTGTGGATAGATATTGTTAGTGTATGGCAGCCTGTGGAAGGCATGATAATGGTTCGATGGACTGTTCATGGCATTCCCCGTGTTCCATGGGAGAGTCGTGGTCGATTTGATGGCACTTCAGAGTATAAACTAGACAAAGATGGGAAGATTTATGAGCACCGGGTTCACAACATTGCGCTGAATGGACCCCAAAAGTTCCATGTACTTGCTGTGCAGGAATTAATTGGATATATCGGCTGTCCCTCCACACCAAAGCCGACTTTCTTTGAGATCTCGTTCCATTCTCTGGATAACATTATGCCAGTGGAGAAATTTGCCGAGTTCAGGCTTCACCTTGGTTCAATTTTAGCCTCCGTTAAAAGAGATGAGGAGGAAGAATCACAGCAAAAATAGCATTGTGACAAAGTGCTAAAAGTTTTGATGGAGCTTAGCGCTGGTTTCCAGACTTGCACCAGTGCTCTACGTATTTATACATATATATTATATATAACTTTCAGGGTCAGCTCGATGTATCTGGAGTTCATTCTTGTCTTCTGGTTTCTACTTCTCATCTGAGTTTGAAAATTTTACAGCTGTAAATTTTTGTACAGTATATCTTACTACTGAGTTTGCAGTTATTTTCTAGCTGAATATGTTCTCCACAAATTGTAATGAAATATTTCCCTGCATAGAAGTAGTGATAATATCCAACACATAAAATAGTTTTGGAGAATTTACTATTCTGCTATTTGTTCTGATGCTATTTTGACACTTCTTGTTTAGAACTCTATGGCATCCTGCAATTATTTTCTTTGTTTGAAGATATTTCATTGGTAGTAGGTTGAGCTTGAAGATTATACAAGTAGGTGTTTGGACAATATTTGATTGAAGTTGGAAAAAATGAGTATCTGAAGTTGAAGTTTCAAAAAGAGTATTTGGATGTTGAAGTTGTGTTTGGGATGAAATTTATAGCCTGTTTAGCCAAGCTTCTTACCATGCCAAAAGTGCTTTTTTTTTTCAAAAAAGTATTTTTTTTCTAGGTGTTTGGCCAAGCTTTTTTTTTTGGGAAAAAGGTGTTTTTAGCTAGAAGCAGAAGTAGTTTTGAAGAAGCAGAAAAAAAATAGTTTCTCTCGAGAAGCAGAAGTAGAAGCAATTTTGACTTTTCCTCCTACCAAAAATATCTTTTGCAAAATATTATATATACCAAAATAACCTTACTTAGTTTAAACTATTAAGTAATATAAAATGACTTTTGGGATGAACTTTCATATTTATTGAATGATTTTTTGATATATTTAAATTATCTTGAAAGAATAAAGTACTTTTCAATTTTATTTTTATATTTTACTTAAATAAAATAAAAAAATTGAATTATTATCTTTATTAATAAATATTTATAATTATTTATCTACTTATATAATATTAACTATTAAGCAAATCTGTTCATGTCCGTATTTGTAATTTGATACTTAAAAGTACTTTTTGAAAAGTTTGACCAAATATAAATTATTGTTCAAAAATAATTTTCAAATTGATTAGCCAAACACAAACTGTTATTTTTTTGAAAAGCAATTTTTCAAATACAATGTTTTCTAGAGTTGCCAAATTATGGAGTAGAAGTATACTGTTCTACGTAATCTCATGTCTGTGATAGGACATAGAAAACAAACTTTGTCGCTTTCCTGTATGCCTACAACATTGTTACAAGGTTTTTCCACTGTGCAGCTTAAAAAAAACTAATTTTTTGATACGTGTGTTGCACGTGAGTCCCATACAAATAGTGCAAACTATTTTTTTTCTTATCTAATTTTTGCAATCTAAAATGGTACAAACACAAGATTAATTATTGTGGTTCGATTGGAAAATCTAGCAATTTCAATTGGTATATGTACCACTATCTTAATAACTTTCTTTAAAAAAGTAATTGTAAATGTGTAGAATTGTTACCGATTTTGTGATGCAGCTATCCAAGTAACATGTTAAAACGATTGTAACACAAAATTAAGCCTTAATATAAAATCAAAAGTTTGATACCCATACAAAGTAATAAAACTTTTATGTTAGGAAGAGCTCATTTGCTATGTTTTCAATTCACGAACAAAGAACATTGATATAAACATATGAAATATGTAAAAGATCTTGTTAAAAGGTAGTGATCAGTGTATCTATGATTAAAAAGCTATACTTTAATTTCAATTAGTACAATTATCAGCAAGGTTCCTAAATCACAATTCTTATACAGTCTTATTAGAACATAACTCTAAAATCTTTATAACAAAAGGAAATATTGTCACGACCCCAAATTCTCTCCGTAGGATGTCGTGATGGAACCTAGTCTCTAAGACTAGGTAAGCCTATCAATGCGGAATAATAATAAATATCTGAAATAAATAAACTACAATTCAAACAATTTCAACTCCCAAAACCCGGTTGAAATAAGTCACAAGCTTCTAAGAATTTATTCTCTATGTCTCTATATGTCAAGGTCTAGATAAAATATAAGGAAGCAACATAAAATGATAGAAGGGGACTCCGGAGTCTGCGGACGCTGGCAGATATACCTCGAAGTCTCCGTGCGCAGGTAACTCAATGACGTCTAGGCTGGTAAAATGTAGCTGGATCTGCACAAAAAGATGTGCAGAAGCATAGTATGAGTATACCACAGCGGTACCCAGTAAGTGTCAAGCCTAACCTCAGTAGAGTAGTGACGAGGTCAGGTGAGCCCCTACTGGAATATAATAATGGTATGGTAAAATATTTATTAATGTAGTAAAATAAAATGACNAAAAATTTCCCCCACATAAGGTTAGACAAGTCACTTACCTCACTTGTTTCAATTTAACCAAGTATTATGCTTTTTCCTCGAATTTCCGACTCCGATCGACTCGTATCTAGTCATAATTAATTTGATACAGTCAACAAAAATTATAGTAATCACTTACATAAGAAAATATTATATTTTCATTAAAATCCGAAATTAGCTCAAAATTTGTCCATGGGGCCCACATCTCGGACTCCGGCGAAACTTAAAAAATCCGACAACCCATTCTATTCCGAGTCCACCCGTACCAATTTTACCAAAATCCGATAAAAACTCGACCTCCAAATCTTAAATTTTCATTTTTGGAAGATTTTGCAAAAATCTTGATTTCTTCCATTTAAATCCGAAATAAATGATGAATATGACCATGGATTTATGAAATATAATCACATTTGGATATAGAACACTTACCCAAGTTGAAGTCTTGAAGAAATCCTCAAAATCGCCCAAGAACCGTGCTCCAAAACTCCAAAACGAAATGAAGGAAATGACCATTTTTGGTCCTTAAGTTTCTGCCCCAAAAACACTATTCCGGTCGCTAAAAGTAAAATCCCGTCGCTAAAAGTGTCACATCTGGTCG